ATAATTTATTGAAAATTAATAATTATTTAATAATTATGATCCAATAAGTTATAACCATTAGATTGACGAAAATCAACAGTTAAGATTTAATAATAAAAGGTAATAAAAAAGAGAGGTAATAACTATAATCTCTCCTATTAATTTTTATGCAAAATCTTAATAGACAATTAGACGGCTTTGCATGGGAACGTTGGTAACAGTTAATATATAATATTGCTAATATAAGAATAATATAAAATAGAAACCTGTCTCCAAAAATGTAAAATAAAAACTATCTCGGCTTTAAATTATTTTGATTAATTATATTATTTATTTATGGATTACTATGTCTATTAAATGTAAATTATATTATATATATTAAAAATATTATTTAATATCAAAATATGTCCTAATATATCGAAATCTAACTTTTTTAGAATTAATGTGTCGTATCCTGTGTCGGTGTAACATAAATTTTAAATATTATATGAATTGATTGGGGACATAAAATATAAAAATAAAAATATTTACAAACAATATCTATGGCTGACAAGTGACATCATATTGTATACCGAGATCTTTGTTAAAACCAATGTTGTTAAAACCTGTCCGTAGGGGTGTAAATTGACTGGGCTAAGCTAGGCTTTAGCTTAAATAGGCCAAGCCTATAACATTCATGTCTCGAGCCGGTTCAATTAACATACATACGATACAAACAGAAATAGTGGAAGACTTAACTTACGAAAATACGAGCTAACTGTTTCTTTTTCTTTAATCCTTTTTCACATGACATATCACATTACATACTTCTTCTAATTTAATTCTTATTTGACGGAGACAAAATTCGAACAAAGTAACCTCTGTAAATCGGACAACTGAGGATTTGCAAATCCCACTCTCAAAGTACCCTGATAGACAATTTATACAGTATATACTTTCAGACATACCAGATATCCATATAGGATCATATACCCATCCATGGGCGCATGCATAACTTGGCTCCGTGCCACTATGTCTAACAGCACGCAATCCAACACATAAACATAAACTGAATACTACATCATCATATCAACATGTCTGAATACTCAAATGTACATGCATCCAACTGAAAGACATGTGCAAAACATATACAGGCCATATACAAAATAAAGGATCAGACATCATGATCACTAAATGAATAGAACACTATACAACAGTACATGTTCTTCAAAAATAACATCTATAATAAAAAGTAGCCTCCGGCTACCCAGAACTCCATATCCTCATACTAGTACCTCTAGCCACAGGTAGTGTCCTTGTCCCATGAGGGCTCTTCAATTAATTGTGTTCCTGAAATCATATCTCCAAACGGGGTTAGAGACGAATCTCTAGTAAGCTCCAGGTTTATAGAGAACTCTCCATACCCTGGGCTCACTTCCTGCATGACAGTAAGATACATCATATACAAAACATCATATATCATACTATACCGAACATATCTCGTATAACATATCATATAATCAAATATCATAACTAAACAAAGCATATACACAAATCTTATCAGAGACGTACGCAGTCATTCCCAAGGGATGACCCCAAGCGGAAATCAACGCACGTAACAAATATCATATACAAAAATCATCACAGTAATCACATCAGAACAAAGCATATCATATCAGAGATGTACGTAGTCATTCCCAAGGTATGACTCCAAGCAGAAATCAACGTACATGTTCCCAAGGGAGGACCCCAAGCAGAACCAAAAACATATCAGAGATGTACACTATCAGTCCCGAGGAATGACCCCAAGTAGACATTAGTGCACATAGGATCAATGGCCAAAGATCATCACATAACAGAGGTGTACACAATCAATCCCAAGGGAAGACCCCAAGTGGAAATCAGTGCACATGTTCCCAAGGGAGGACCCCAAGCGGACATCAGTGCATAAACAAATCAATATCCAAAGATCATTACAGAAATCATATCGAAACATATCAAAGTAAACACAGCAAAACCTATCATATCACATCATCATATAGCTCTATATGAATGCATCTATATCATATATCTCATACATATCATACAACCTGACCACAGTCCGTACACTATGGCGAAACACAAGGTAGGAGCGAACCCCATAAACATAGAGCTTACCTCTTGGAGCTTTACAATTTGCTTACTTGAAGAATAAGCTACTTTTCTTGCTCCACGAGAATCCAAACGTTCACAGTCCCTAGGCACACCTAGAGAAGGAATTCAACACAAAACTCAATAAAATGATATAATGCCATGTAAATATACAAGACACACACTTTATTGTTTATTTTCTTTTTACTTAATCATATTAAGTCATGAGTGGGTGGTTCTTTGTTCAACAAATCCCCATAAAATTACTCATATTCACTTAGTCTTAGGATAGTCCCAAAAGGCCCTTAGAACACTTATTACTCCTCTTAGCACCTAAAAGTCTATTTTTCCCAATTTAAGGCAGAATGCCCGTTACAAAAGAGCTATAAGATTTCTCTTTGTCTAGTGCCTAAGCCCAAGCTTAGCCACCTATATAAATTATTTTACGCATATAAGTGTTCTCACTTTGCGAAACAATATCTCCGAACATATACCTCCTTTGAAAATGGCCAAAACTCAATTTAAGGCCATACAAAGGAGCTACCTTATTTTCTTTTTTATTTCACCAAAGCGAAGGTCCATACACCTTAGATTATTATTTCACGCATAAAAGTATGCTCGCTTTGTAAAACAGTAACTCATAGCACATACTTCCTTTGAAAATGGCTAAGAGGCACATAAAGAAAATCATGTCAACTTCATGATTTCATTGCTTTAGTTCTTCAAATTCAAGCTTATCACACACCTCTAATCCAAGATTCATTAATTCATATATACGGTATTGTTCATCTCTTCAGTACTATTCATGTATACGTCACTATTCACGTATATGACACTATTCAAAAATAAGGTATCTTTAATTTTCCAAATACATTTTCACCGTTAAAATTCTCATCTAAACACGTTTCTCAACATGAGCTAAACCTGAATCAAGCTCTAACATGCTCAATCAAACCAAATTTTTAAAATGAAAACCTAAATTCAATCTTCATAAAAACATGAAAAGGAAGGAAATTTCTTACCACAATGCACTCTAGAACAAATGAGAAGTGAGTTTCTAAGCTCCCATGGCCTCAAGCTCTATCAAAATCCATCTTTTCCATAAAATTCGAAATCTTTGGGGGAGAAGATCTCTCTCTACAGTGAACCTCACCCAGAAATACTGGTACCAATGGATTCTTCTCAAAATTTCTCACAAATTTAATTTTGGAACGGAGTGATTTAGAGGTCTCTAGCTCAAGTTATGAATTTTGGAAGATTTTTATTCAAAACCTCCATTTTCATTTTCTTTCCTCAGTCTCTTCATCTTTGTCGCCCGTGCAAGCAGCGAATTTAAGAAGGTGAATAGTGACTTTTAGTCACTTAAGTCAATTCACTTTATCAGCGGGTATACGTTTATCTATCTACACACCTCCATTCATTACCAAACTTCACCCAATAGGCTAGAATATTTTTCTAGTCATGTTTCTATCTTTACTTTCACTTTATGGGTAACTTTATTTACCTGTATTTTTACCCCTTAACTGATATTTTAACTCATTTTTCACCAAAAGAGACTTTATTTCTTTTACTTCTAATTATTCTTCAATATTAAATCCATAATTAAATGTGAGGGTCATTATAAAGCCTGTGTAAAAAAACATTGGGTATGGTCTGCCCTATTAGCCTGTGTAGGCTTCAAATTACAAGTCTGGCCTGATCTATATTTAAAAAAAAGCCTTGGCCTAGGGCTGTTAGCCTGTTTAAGCCTATTAAACATTCAACAATTAAATGAATAACTAAAATAATATTAGTTTATTATTCAAAATTATTAAATAATAATTTTATTTATTATATTTTAAATAAATAATATGATACATGCCGACCTGTAGGCTTATAGGCGTCGATACAAAAAAGCCTATGACCTGTTTTCTAAATAGGTTTTTTTTAAAAGTCAGCCTATTCTATTTTACTACTTATAATAGGTCAAGTCTGGCCTAATTTAGGCTAGGTCGTAGGCCGGCCTAGTCCATTTACACCTCTACTTGCCCGGTCATTGATCCGGTCGAGGTACTGGGTTATTGGGTCACTGGTTCAACCACATGACCCGGTAATTATATGTAATTTTATAATTTATAATAAAAAATATTAAACATACACAAATATCTAAAAAAAATGATAAAAATTTCAAATATTTTACTATAAAAAATAATAAATCACATATTATTATCCAATAAAGGATCAAACAAAAATATAATGATCATGATATGAGATTTTAAGTTCAGAAAACGACATCTCTAACATAAATCAAATCAAAATTTTCTGCACAGTGCATAATTAAAATAATATTAGTTTGTAGGTCTATAATTTATGTAAGTCAATAAGCAAAAATAATATTCAAATATGTCCATTATAATTTTTTTTTGGACCAGGCCGGGTGGTTAACCGGCCGGGTCGCACCGATTCTAATACATGATCGGTCCGTTGCTTCAACCGGACTGATTATATAACCGGTTTACCGATTCTCAAATCAACCCGGCCAGGTCGGTCCGGTTTTATTAACACTGGATAAAACCACTCCCAAAATTTAAAATTATTCAACCTTATTAACAATGCAAAACATGTCTGCCCAATATTGGCATACCCTTTAGGCCTTCACTGTAGTGCAAGCCAATAAGATTCCATATCTCTAACTCTAACCCATTTCCTTAACAAGATCTAACATTTTTATACCTATTCTCATTTCTTTGTCTCAAAATAAAAATATCATATTGAATTAAAATAAAATAAAATAAAAAATAAAAAACCGGAGTAACCTTACTCTAATTATTTATAAAGATAGTAACAGACTTGGTCGGACATGTCCAGAAATGAATATTTGCATAAAATTAGTTTTGTTCTTCCAAAATTTCAAAATATTTTCTTGGCTTCTATACAACAGATGGGACTATCGATACCACTGCAATATCAACTACGTTGCTTTACGTAATCAGGTTAAATCGGCATAGGAGTGAAGTACTTGATAGATAAAAGAGGTATAGCATTGAACCAATGTGCCCCTTGAAGTCTCTTTCACACATGCTGCTAATGCTGCATATTGTACAATCCCAAAATCCATTTGCATAGAAATGGCTTTACAAAAGGAATAGAACATTGCGGCATACATAAGCATTAATAGTACGTAAAAAGCTTCACTTCTTCCATCAGCTACAAAATGCATCCCTTTCTGAACTTTAAGCCACCAGAGAGTAGAACTCTTGAATGTTATTATCTTGTCAATATGGCTACTGCTTCCCACTCCAAACTACATATCACATCCTGCATGACAATCAATTATAAATCATCATAAAGGAACTTTCCAACTTCAATCTTTTTCCCATTTTTCTCTTTCTCATATTTTCATTCTGTTTATTTTTAATAAATAAAAGTTTCTGACAGTTAGATAAAAAAAGAAGAGCTACCAAAAAAACCCCATCAAATCATATTCCCACATAATACAAACAATTTTAGCTGTCTCCACTCACCAACGGATTATGTCGATCAATATCAAAGCTATTGATGGCACAAGGTTCTGCCAGCAGCTCAATAGATTCCTCACCTATGCAATTTAACAATACAACATCACAGGTACACCAAATCAATCCCACTTTATAGTTCATTTAAAAAAAAATTGTTCCATAAGTAGATGAAACAATGTATAAAATCTTATTCCTGATGAAATGGCATTTTTAACATGTTGCAAATTGGAATGAACATATACATACCTTGTTCAATCACAGCGAGAATTCCATCCTCCGAGCAGACCATGGAAGGCAAGATTCGGGTAGATGAGGTGTTTGATTTTATGCAACGATCATACTGAACCTCCCAAACCTCACTTTTACATATTGATTGGACTACAGGGTTGCCAGCCCCAGCCCCTGCTCCCGCTCCTGAGAGTATAATCGGTTGTTGTTGCCACCTAAGATCCCAGGCAAAAACAGTACCTAAGGAGCCTCCGGCCTGATAATATATTATAGTTCCAGAAACATCAGAAGCATACAAGTTATAGCACTGAGCATCTCCAAATCATCATTTGAATAAAATCTAATACAAGAAATTAAGAACGGTTTATCTGGTACTGATGTAATGCATTTGTTATTGCAGAAGCGAATAACAGCTAATAGCTCTCATAAGGTCATTAAACTGGCCTTAAATTTTGATAAATGACAAGATAAAGCACATTTATATTATAGACGTACCTTTTTTTAATTGTCATGACATAATGTCACACTCATATTTTCAACTTTAGCAGGTTATTGCACAGCTAGAGGAGCTGTATATATTTAACTAATAGTCTACTACTAAGGGGGCGTTTGACAGAGGATAAATATTTTCGTGCCCGGGAATCATGATTCCCCGGACTATGGTGAGAAAGTGAATTTTCCGAGAATGTTACCAAAAACCTGTTTGGTAGACCAAAATATTACCGGGAATATTGGCTCAAGATTACTGATTCTATGTTTGGTTAATTGTCAAATATTACTGAGAATATGAGGTAATTTTACAAAATTAACCTTACCCATCACAATCCATTATCGCCGAAGCATTTCCACTCTACACAGTTTTCATCGACAGAGACCCAGAACTGTTCTCTCTCCTCAGAACCGGTAACCTTCCCTCAAAAGCCAAAGCCTTCGATCTCCAAGGCCTAACCTTGGAATCCCAATTCTACGGCATGGAAAGCCGTCTCATCAATTCCCTTTCTAGCCCATCCCAATTGGAACCCTTCAACCTCCAAAAATTAGTCGTCTTACCCTTGAACGAACGAGACTCCCCCTTTGATGTCGCCGCCACCCCTTACGGCTCCCTCCACGTCGCCCAAACCACTCCCTCCACGTCGATTGGTCCCTCTGCCGCAAATCCATGATTCTCCCCCACTTCACCGCCGTGGATTCCCTCCTCGCTATCTAGCCGTCGATGGCCGCCGCCGGTGCCAACAACTTCTTCGGCTTGCAGATTCTGGATGTGGAAAAGGGGCACATTAGGGATACACTGAACTGGAAAACACAGGGTATTGAGATCGGAGAGGAAGAGAGAGGGAGGGAGCTTTTTTGTTGGAAAGTACAAGGTATTTTGGTCCGAAAATATTTGAAAACTTTTCCCATCACTTCTTGGATGGCATTTTGGCATACCAATGGTTCACAAATCAAAATCTCAGGAAAATTAGATTCCCGGAAAAATTCTCAGAAATCTTATACCAAACATGGGTAATAAAAAAAAAACCACTCCCCGTTAAACCCGACTAGCGAGTGTGGGGTGGAGGAAATCCTTGTACGCAGCCTTACCTTTGCATAATTGCAAAGAGGCTGTTTCCTGGATTCGAACCCATAACCTTTCAATCATGAAGGAACAATTTTACCACTACTACAGTTTTATCAAACATGGGTAATAGGAATCTAAAAAAAAAAAACTTCTACCAAACGTCCCCTAAATGTAAAAGAAGCAACCGCGAGCATCAATTACATGTGCAGAAGCGACAGTAAAGCTACAGTATCAACCAGTAATGGGGTAAAACTAAAATCTAAAATCAATGCTGCTCCCAGCTCTCATAAGAACATTCACAAAGCCGCATGTACTGTTCATCTTATGTAAAAAAACATCTGAATATGACAAGAAACGATGATGTGGCATAGCCATCTTACCAGGCAAGTGTGCTTTCTTGATGGATGAATGTCAATAGAGTGCACAATCCCAGCACTCAATTTTTGATCCCTGCATCGTATTCACGTAATAAACATCTATTGTAAGCATTAGAAAATGTTATATATTTCAAGAAATGCAACACATATTTTCAAATTAGTAGAGATATATCAATAACTAAAAAAAAAAACGTGCAAAATCGAATTTTAAGTTCACATAACTCTAATCTCTTCAACACTCTTTAAATTGTTACCCACCGAGCATTTTACTTACCAATTACCCTTAAACTGAGAAACTGGTCCTCCCGGTTTTCTCTGGTCCCACCATTGAAGACTGAATCCATATCCGCCAGTGGCAAATTCCATCGGCGACGCCCACTTCGCCGCAGTGTACGACACCAACCCACTGCTATCAAAAACCCGACGATAATTCAAGTTGGAATTCCCAACACTGACCAAGTTCACCTTCCCATCTTCGCCAACTGTCACACACTCCATTCCACCATCCATTAGATCAACGCAAGACGCGGACACAGAGTGCAACGCACCCTCGGGCACCGAAACCTCCGATTCAAGCGACGCATTTGCGGAATCGGAGAAGAGGAAGTGGAGGGAGCCCGAGTGAGTTGAGGCAACGATGATGGTTTTCTGAAGGAACTGCGAGGCCTTGAGAGAGGAAACGCGTAAAGGCGAAACCCACGAAGATTGGGGTTCTAAGGAAATTGGGTTTGGTTTGAAAGAGTGGATTTCAATGGAAGAAGCATCCGAATCGAAGTCGAATAAAGCGAGAACCGCGAATCGATCGAATGCGGATACCAGTGGAAGCCATCGAACGGCATCGACGTATTTGTATTGTGGGAACCTATGGATTTTGGGGTGTTCTGAATTTGCCGTCACTGCCATTGCCAGGGTTTACAGGGTTTTTCAGCGACAATTGCACCTTGCAAGGATCAAAAGAAGGAAAAGGTGGGAACTTGTTTTTTGTGACTGAAATACCCCTGAACATTACTCTTAATTACCTTAAACCAAATTACGAGGTTGCCCTTCATGTTTTTGTGTGTTTTTGTGGGATGGTCAATGGCAAGTGGATAAGAGGAAATGGGAGTCACAGGAAGGACCTGTAGCGTTTTCTGGCTCACTTCTTCTCTTCCTGTGAGGAAAAATGGCATGAGGTTTGGAACAACATTGGCCAAAAAGAAGGAGTTTCAAGAGAAGGGCAAGTCCCAACGGCAACGCTCTTTCACACTGAGGGTTTCAAAATCAATTCTTGCTCGCACTGCCATTGGAGTGTTTGGATTGGGGTTCATTGATGCCGGGTCAGCATGCTTTATTTTCTTTCTCGTGGAGTTTATCAGTTAAGTTTTGTTAATTCTATTTCTGATTCATAGGAATGCTTCAAACGTTCTTTCAGGTACAGTGGAGACTGGTCAAGGATTGGAGTGATAACCCCGCAGAGTGAGGAATTGCTAAAGCTTGCAGCTTTTCTAGTGGTTCCCTTTTGCATCTTTCTCATTTTTTCTCTGCCCAACGACTCAAATTCATGAACTTTTCAACTGGGACATGTACACAATTGTGAATTTGGATGTGAATGATTATATGTCGTAAATTGTTAACTGATTATTCCTTTAAACGCTCCTTGGTTTACTCTGTCCAACAATATTTGTAAGGTGGAAACATGGACTTATAAACTACATTCGACAGCAGTTTAATAATTTCCTCCGGTCGTGATTGTTCTTTGTTGGATTACTCAGTTTTCCAAACACGCGAATAACTGTAGACTGTAGTAATGAAAGATAATCCATAGAATGCTACACTTTTCTTGAAAAATAGGTAGTGGTCTGTTATCACTGTCCTCGAATAAGCCACCAGAAAATGAGGATTTCTCAGCAAGAAGTCCATCTAATTAAATATTCTATCAGAGTAAAAAAAAAAGGGGGGTTGATAGTTGCATGTAACTACGATGCACGGACACCGACACGGGACATGACATTACATTCCGACACGTAAATTTCAAAAATTGTCATATTCTGACACGTCAGGACATGTTTTAATATTAAATAATATTTTTAATATATATATTATAATTTATATTTAATACATATAATAGTCCATAACAAGTCCTATAATTAATTAAATATTCATTTTCTATAATATAAATATAAAAAAAAAACAATAAAAATATCAAATAGCTCCTGCATTCAACGTGGAAAAATGCACCCAACTTGATAGACAAGGTGAAGAAAGAAGGAATCACTCAACAGGGGGTCAATTTGTTAATATAAAAATTAAAGTAGAAAAATTATTCAGGACATAACATAAAGCAATCCATTCGATTACTTTTAGAAACTAAGCTAACGAAAGGTAAAATAAAAGAAATGAAAAAAAAAGAGGAACAGTAAAACGAGACCAAGGTAACATACATCACAGAGAGAGAGGGATGAGTGAAAGAGACATTATATCACTGACTCACTTAGCAACTTGGAAGCAAAAGGACGATGAAGAAGAACAGCCAAGCAGCAGCCGACTGAGGAAGAAGGAGGCCAGTTGCAGCAGCCGACCGAGGAAGGAGGAGGCCAGTTTGCAACGCGTCAACGTGGAGAAAGAGATAGGGTTCTATTCTGTTTTTAATTTTTATTAAACATTTTTTACATTATTTTAAATTATAATTTTAATAATTTTTTTATAAAAAATTCAAAACGTGTCCCAGTGTCAAAAAATGTTGACTACGTGTCAGACTCGGTTAAAGTCGCGTGTCGAAATAGTCAACGTGTCTTAAAAAGTTGACTGCGTGTCGAACGCGTGTCGAAACATGTCCGTGTCCGACACGTAATTTTTCAAAAAATTCTCGTGTGCGTGCTTTAGAGGCATGTACTAGTAACTTAGGACACCTTTTGTTACATTGTCTTTCTTCTCCGAGGCAAGTAAAAGTAACAACCACCCAAGTTGTTTAATTACCAAACTCCTGATGAGAATTATTCATAATCTGTATAAATTGAACAACTCATTATGAGGACAGAAAAAATTCATGTCTAGTATAATTGAAGGACTAATCCGTTATTTTTTTTTGGTTTCATCGAGCTCCCCGTAAAGTTTGTTGTAAAACCCGTTGTCCGTACTTGATTAATCGTCCTTTCTTGTTGAAACGAATGGTTTTATTTTTGTAATTTTTTAATTGTCCTAAAGTAGTATAAATGGAATTCATTAAATTCAATTTTTTTCGTTCCATCTCAGAATGACCCGGTCTCAATGGTTGTTGCTTGACGGTGCTAGCCAAATCACACAAGAGTCGAAGCCGACATCCCTCTGACCAGTTGTTTGTGCGTTCCGGTAGCTTTCGTACATGTACAAGATAAAGATTGCGAAAGAGAGACAGAGACGATGATGAGGGGTGAAAAGAGGATGCAGAATAATAATGTGAGGGGGCCCAGAATCCCGAGTCTTAACTCTTAACATTTAAATTTGTGATTCATTTTAACTTGCGACTTTCTGCCCAAAGCCCTTATTACCAATCTATTCTTAGTAGCTTATTGGAGATTCCCTTTCTAATCTCAAGATTCGAATAAATAAGTTGTCAGAATAAAATCTGAAATGCTAAAACACGACATTACCTGCTATTCTGCTGAGGAATTAAAAGGGTAAGTTTACCTGCCACTCTCATCTCTGTAAATTACCTAGAATTATATTGCACAATTCTTGCAATGGGACAACAGACAGTATAATCCAAAATATTTCGCTTGCAATAGTTTTAACAGTCAGCAAATTGTGAATTGGCTAAAATGCACAAGTCGGTGATTCCAATAGGAAATCCAATATGACTAGTGTAGCAACACTATGAGCAAGTGCCCCAAGAACAACAAAAACATGAAAAATTTGATGGCTGTGCCCTGCAATATCAAATGCTCCAGGCTTCCATCGCTCTGGTATTCTGGCAACATAAAATCCAGCTCCTGCGGCATATAGAATGGCCATAGCAAGCTCGTATCCAACTGCAACAAATATATGTGACTGGCCCCAATGCAGGGCAACAGCATGAGCTGCGGGAATCACACCTGAAAAGCCCATGCAGAGAAATAAGTAGGCCCTGAGGGGTCGGAACTGAGGTGTGGACAGTGAAGGTGCAAGAATGGTAATAATGGCGAGGACTCCAAGCACAGATATTGACGTCAAATAGAATAACCTTGCGTAAGGATTGCAGTAAAAGGCATAGTAAATTGGAGCAAAGAAGGAACCCACAATCATAAGAGAAATGCCAGCATAATCTAGACGCCGGAAAAATAGGTTAAAGCCTTTGGAGTGGCAGGCGAGAAGATGAGAAAGAGAACTGCATGCCAGGCAGCCCATTCCTCCAGCTAAGAAAACGAACCATGGCCATCGAGGAATTGTTTCTACACCAGATAAATGCATATCCTGAAAAATAAATAAAAATAGAATAGCTAGAATTCTTCAGTTATGTTTGGGGCTCACATAATCCACCCCGATAACAATGGTAATAGCTAGAATCCTTCAGTTATGTTTAGGGCTCACATAATCCACCCCGATAACAATGGTTGTTTTTTACATCTTTTTTTCTAGTCAAACATTACCTTTATTATGGTAGTAAAGTACAGATATAGAAAACATGATTACACGATTTACGAATGCGCATCGAGTTTCTTAGCAAGTCTGAAATGATGCTCTAATAGGAGCCCATGTATTTGGTCTAAAATCCATCGGAACAAAGTGCTACTAGCCAAGAGAATGTATAAGCTTACATGTAATGTAAGATAATATACTCAAATTTTAAATGAAAATCTGGAAGTAGAAGATGACAGCACTTACTAAATCATTGAGCTACTCATACAAAATGACAAAACAAAAAATATTAATGATTTTATGATTAACCGTTAGCATTTCTAATTCTAATGCATTTATTAAAATTCTTTTTAGGAACTTTCTCAGTTTATAATTTATATTAACACTTACAAGAGAGGTTAAGGGAAGAGAAACGAAGACTCACTCTCAATTAATGTATATTAGATTTTACTTCCTTGTTTCCCTACTATTGTTTAATGTCTGTTCCTTACCTCTCAAGTGACGGATCGTTCCCAATACTCTTAAGCTACTATTTTTAATGGTTGTTCAGTGCCTCTCACGTGAAAGATCGCTCTCGATGTTTTTGCCGGAGAAGAGGGACTCACAATATAGGGCAGGACAGAAGAGGAATCTCAATGGGGAGTCTTGCTTGGGTTCCTACTGTTCTGAATTTTTCGTAATATTTGCATTAAAGGGTAAATCTCACCATTTCTTTTTTTTTTTTAGAAACTTTGAAGGTACCTCACACAACCTCCTCCAGCCACCTCGTCCTCGGAGTATAGCCCCTAAAGCTAACTCTTCATTGAAACGGGAGCATTAGACCACTATCACTGAAGGAAGATTGAGACTAATTTCCAACGAGGAGAGGTTGTTTCCCTCTCACCATTTAAAGCTACAATTGCTAATAATTTTTATTATAATAGGTGGGACACGGCGGTCAGGCAGTCACCCTAGACTCCTAGAAAGATGCTAGGCCGCTTAACGCATTAGGTTGATTAGTGTCTCCTGAGGTGTTCTACGTGTTCGTACTTGAGTAGTATTAAATATTTACTCTATTGTTATAAAATTGATGGGGAATACACGAGAAATGAATAAAATTCTAGAGAGAAAGAAAATGTATTGAGTTTTTTATACAGAGAACTATAGAGGAAGCCCCTATTCATAGGGAAAAAAATCACTATTTGTATTGTGATTTACGCGTATGAAAAATAACCATGAACAATACTGAACAGTACTAAGCTGCTTGTATTACACAAGTTAGGGGATGATATGTCAAAGGTGATAGGACTAAGCAGATCTTGCGGAAATTTTTCCATACTCGTGAATTTCAAGAAAGTCGACAAATTGATGTAAAGCAAATTCAATGCATGAATAATCTTGTATATCTTTTTACCAAATCATTGCCAACATCAAGTTTTGAAAAGTTAGTATATGGCATTGGTATGTGGTGAGTACATAAGATGAAAGATGAATTAGCTCCAACAGTAGCTATATGGCTCAATTGAGAGGGAAATATTATAAATGATGATCTGTACTCTTTCTTTTGTCCAGTTTTTGTCCCAATGGATTTTTCAGGCTTACGTTTTTTAGTGAGGCAGAGTCATTCAATATGACTACAATGAATATTCAGCAATGATGATCTGTACTGTTCATGGTACTGTTCAGCACAGTTCATGATTATTGTTCATACGCGGGTTACTGTTTAGCATTGTTCATACGTGTAGTACAGTTCATGGTTACTGTTCATATGCGTAAATCACTATGCAGATAGTGAATTTTCTTAGGAGCTTCCTACATAGTTCTCTGTATAAAAAATTCAATACATTTTCTTTCTATCTAGAGTTCTACTCCTTTCTCTTATATTCCCTATCAATTTTATAGCACGTTATCAACACGATAGCCTCTATGATATCAGACTAAGGTTAATAGACCTACAAACAAAGGAGCAACTTGCGTCTCCAAGGTTGATATTCTTTATCGATTTCTAATTCATCTTCTTCTACCCATTCCTACTTCTGTTAATTAAAGGATCTTTTCCAAGATAAATATATTATGCCAAATATTGAAAAACCCAAGTTCTACATCCTGAAAGTGAGTGGTAACAATTATTTGTCCTAGTGCCTGGACATAGAGATACACCTTCAAGGGCAAGGCCTCGCACCTGCGATTTCCAAACCTGGTACATCGAATGAAAAAGATAAGGCAAATGCGTTGACCTTTATCTGCCGCCATTTGCATGAAAGCCTACAGACTCAGTATTTGTCTATGCAGGGTCCTTAAGTCCTCTGGACAAGGTTGAAGGATCAATATGATCATATCAGCCAGGACCGACTCAGTATGATTGGCAGCATCTAAGGCTGCAGGATTTTAAAATCAGTGTTTGATTACAATTCAGCCTTATATGACATTGTCTCTTGGCTTGAATTATGCGGTGTCAAGCTGACTGAAACAGAACTATTAGAAAACATTCTCTACCTTCGATGCCTCTACATAGTATTGCAACAACAATACCGGCAACGCCACTTTACTACCTATTCAAAATTATTTTTTGTGCTCTTGACTGTTGAGCAAACTACCTATTCAAAATTAATTTTTGTGCTCTTGACTGTTGAGCAAACTAATTTCTTCCATTCCTTTCTATTTGGTTTCCGTATTATGTATTTTAATCTTTGTTGTTTTTAGTATGATTATTACTGAAATGCTTATGAGTTTATAAAATGTTTCTTAGTTATTAATATTTTATTATTCTATAACTAATATGAATATTTATGACACCTGAAGTTGTCAATATAAGTGCAAATGGATAATATTGTGCAAGTTGCTCCTTTGTTTGTAGGTCTGTTAACCTTAGTTTGATATCGTAGAGGCTATATCGTGTTGATAACATGTTATAAAATTGAAAGGGAATATAAGAGAAAGGAATAGAATTCTAGAAAGAAAGAAAATGTATTGAGTTTTTGATACAGAGAAAGAAAATAGGCCTTGATGCCAATATAGCGGAGAGCCTCCTCATCCAGAGCATTCCATGGCATCACCTTCGCCTCTTAGCTCTTTTCTAGATGCCTCGAACAACTATTATCCATAGATACTTAAAGATAGGAGGATCGTAAGACACATGGATCATTACAGAATCTGCTTTCTGATACACAGAATCCCTTAAAAAAGGCATACGTAAAGCATATTTGCTTCTCTAAGAGAGGTGGCAATTATGGTAACAACATTATACTAGGCTTTAAAAAAGAATAAAGAAACTTAGAAAATATTCATGATTAAGAACACACTTGTTTAATTCTCAATCCAACTCTTAGTCAAGTTCTGAGTTTTACAAACATCAAACTTCCTTTTATAGACAAGGAAGTAGGAAACAAAAGAAAATATAGACATCATCGCTTACATCCCAAGCTATCATGATTATAGACATGATAGTGACATCCTAACTACTACTGTTGACAAAATAAACATGATAAGGACATATCACCAATTTCTTTTGACCAAGTACATAATAATCCAAAACCTAAAGATAGCCTTTTGACTATGTAGACTAGGCTTTTGACAAATCACATTAGACTTTTGACAAATTAAGCAAACATAATAATGACACGACAATTACATTTGACTTAGCATACTAAGATCCAAACCATACAGTAACTTTTAATTACAACCACAAACTACTAAAATAGCTTTTTGACTAAGATGGCTCCTTAAAAATAACTTTGTCTCCCAGTCATCGTTGTGCAGGACTGATTGGTTTGATGACAGATTAAGATCTCTCTTTTCTTGAATTGACACTACAATAGAAAGTATGATACCAAGGCTTAGATTGATCAACCTTTGTCATTTCCTTAATGATCTCATTCATGACTTCCGCATTAGGATCTTGAGAATCTACAAAGTAAGGATCAAGATAAGGATCAAACTCTCCAAGCTTATTTGATTCATCAATATTGTTATGAAAAGGAATCTCCATTGGGCCTTGTGATGAACTTGGGTCGTCTCAATTAGCAAGTGTAACAACATATCAATGTATCTCTTTCAGATGTTGAGACAATTGGATCTTATAGCATCGATCTATTGGATAATCTTCAAATGTGTTCCATAGATAAGCTATATTCTAACACCGTAAGAGTCCAGTTGGTGTCTGCCAGTAAGGACGATGAACAATGACAATAGTAGTTGCCTTGGCAATTTGTTCATGTGTCTTTCCATTGATTTCTCTAGAATGAATGATATTGTACAATTCTCTTCTCCACCACGATAATGGAGAATAGCATTCTAAGAGTGTCCGCAAATAATAGTCTGCCTTCTCTGGATCAGTGAGAATCCAATATATATTCAGTACCCTTCAAAGCTAAAGGAACTGAATATTGAACTGTAATGCACCATATACTCCAAAGAGTATATTCACATACTATGTTGCATCGACACTAACACGGGACACGACACGACACTCTGACAGGTTAATTCTAAAAAATGTTAAATTTTGACACGATAGGACAAATTTGGATATTAAATAACATTTTTAATTTATGTAGTGTATATTATATGTAAAATTCAAAATTTAACAAAAAAATGAAACTAAGCTTATAATATCCATCAATTTTTGCAAAGAAGCATAAGATATCACAAATATTTATATTAAACTCATTAAAATGATAATCGTAATCCAACAAATCATGCCTGTTGGAGTGTCGGAGTGTCGAATACGACACATTAGGTTTTTTGAAGTGTCGATGCATCATAGTTCACATATATCAAAACCTGGTTGACAAAATATTTCTAAAATTCCTAAATAATGAACTTCAGGATTAAAAACTCTAGGTATGACATTTTATGCT